TGCATCGGAGCCCAGTTCTGGGTTCAGATTCTTCAGGGACACACCAGCGACATTCACGCCACTCCACACAGGCACACTGGATTCCCCGTGCTCCCCCAGGACCCATCCATGACAGCTCAGTGGGTGAACACCCAGCCTTTCTCCCATCAGGTAACGGAACCGAGCTGAGTCCAGATTGCAACAACTCCCAATGACTAGGTTTTTGGGAAAACCACTTATCATCCAGGCCACGTAGGTCAAGATATCCACTGGATTGGAGACAATAAGCAGCTTGCAGTTTGGACTGTACTTCACCACGTTGGGAATGATGAACTTGAAGATGTTCACATTTCGCTGGATCAGATTGAGCCGACTCTCTCCCTCTTGCTGACGGGCCTCCGCTGTGATGATGACCAGCTTGGAGTTTGCAGTAACGCTATAGTCTTTGCCAGAGACAATTTTCGGTGTTCTAAGGAAAAGGCTGCCGTGCTGGAGATCCATCATCTCTCCCTTCAGTTTGTTTTCCATGACATCAACAAGGGCAAGCTCCATCCGCCAAGTCCTTCATTAGGATACTGATGGCACAAGCCATGCCAACAGCACCAACCCTAACAACCGTAATCTTGTTCTGGGGAGCCTGTTTTTCCTTAAGGAGATTCACAATCAGCTGGTCCTTGAGGATTGCCATCTTGTCGCACTTTGAACCTTTTGGGACCACTAATGCACGATGAGCAGCTTCGGGCGCACAGCAGCATGGTCAGGGTTCGGCGACAGAGGCTCCAGCACTTCCTGATGTTTCTTGAGCAAAGTATTTTTAGGGTTTATGGAGATGATTTATGGGTTCTTGTTCTATCATGCCTCATTACCCCGGAAAGAATCCACAGGTTCTGATCTACTGTGGAAATGAAAACAACATATTTTCCAAAATAACATATCCTTAGACTCAAATTTCGATATCAAGAAACCTTTTTGTTGGCTTAACTTAGGAACTCTCTGAGTCAAATATTTCTCTGCAGTGAAAAAATTTAATGAAAACATAATAATTTGCAAAATCCAGACTCTCTGTATATATTCTATCATTATGTGGCTTATGTTTTTATTCTATCAAATTTTAATATTAATTGTATCATCTTTGCTCCTTTAATCTATGACTGAATACTTTAGCCTAAAGTATTTTTTCTTTCTTTTCCAAGCCTATGTACATTTTGTAAACACATTGTGACAGATGTAGAGGTTTATTTCTGTCTGAATCTCTCTTTATTGTGTATCTTAACCCTTTCTGACCAGAAGCATTTTAACGTGGTAAGCAACTTGGTAGCAGTGGCCCTGGATTCTAACTCTGCCTTTCTTGGCCTTTCAACATGGCAGAGGTACATTCACTACTAGTTCTGGGACCACTAGATGGAGCTGCGCTTATCACCTCAATTATGGGAAGCAGTATGCAGTACACAAACCCTTTCTGTTTGAGTAAAAGTCTGCCGTGAAGCATGATATTAGGCCTGGAAATGTTTCTGTTTATGGTGGTGGGATTCTGCCATCCTCTCTTGTCTGTACAGATAATACAGATCTACTCTTTCTGGTTGCCCTGGCAGGGGTGTTCAGCTGCCAGCATGCTCTCAGCTATGTTCCTCCTAAACTGAGTGGGCATACAGGCACCTGGACCTGAAGTGAGTGGCTGGTCATGCAGGTAAGCCAGAAATGTATGGGTGCCATTTTGTAGGCAAAGACTGCTTGTTCATTTTCTGGCTG